AGGAGAACACTAAAATATCTATTGAAGGCACTATGGCAACCTTCTTTGAGTTGGACTAGTTTTACCGTACTAAAGTGGTTGTGTAGATATTGGCATAGACCAGTCATCTTCACTATGAAACTCTCAGCTTTTGATCGCCTTCCAAAGCATAACCTGGCTCTCACTCACCCGATGCATACCTTATGTCCATTATTTTTAGTCTTATCACGACTTTGACGCACGAGCGAGAATTTAATTTCATTGTCAAGGGGTCGCTTTGGCAGAACTGACAAAGTTATCAGTACAACATAATGATAACATCCCAAGAAAAAAATATTTCATTGGCCATACAGGGAAAACATTTTCCCAAAGAATAAAAGAGCATAGAAGTAGTTTTGTGAATAGAAAGACTAATTCCACATTTGCATACCAACTTTCAGTAGATGGAGATGAGTTCAATCATGAATACGACGTGTTACATTTCTATAACTCTTCTATAATGTTGAGAAATCAATAGATTCGGGAATTCCAGTAATTTACTGAATGATCAATCAGAATTGAATAACTTTCCGTTACTAAATATATTTTCAAATGTGGAAACTGGGATATAAGCTCAGGTTATTTAATTCATTATAAACTTAGGTAAAAATCAGGTACTTGGTAATGTAGGTACTTCAAATTGCAAAATTAGGTACATTGAGCATTAAATATGTAGAATATAGTTAGTGAAGACACCCCAGAAGAAGCCATTGTATGGCGAAACACGTGTTGCGTTTTTGTAAAATTGTGGTGAAGTGAACATTCTCGTTTTTGTTCATCGGTAAAACCTCGTTCTTGAAATTCTTCCTCATGAACAACACTTGCAAAATGCTATTCATGTAGCAAGTGTTTCCTAAATCATCTAATCCAATTACTTCTCAAGATTTTTAGGACAACTGTCCACTGATTCGTAAGGAAGAACATGTTTCACAGAATCTGTATCTCAACCATTTCCTCTTCTTCGTAGAGGGATCGATTGGACTCATGCTTCATGAAGATATTGTTATTGTTATTCTTTTCCGTCAAAGATTATTGTCAGCCTCTTTACTAGCCCCCAGATCTATGGAAGATGCACTTGTGTCAAAGCACAAGCATCCAAGCAACTTTTCTTGATTTTTCTCCAAGCAGGTATAAATTCAAGATTCCACAGTAGAGAGATCTATCAGATCTGTTTTGATAAAAACTATCATTATTTCACGTATCACACATGGTAGGTTCAGTCCATCATTTAACAAAATCTGTGATGTTTTAGAATGTTATAATCTGAACAATTGATCAAATATTCACTAACTTATATGAGGAAACAACATGTTGAGTCATTGATAATGATATATCCGATCAGTCTAGTATTTTGCGATATGGAGTTGAGCGTGTCAAAAGCAACAAATACAGAATGCAGAAGGCGTTTTACGAATGATAGTATAAATAAATTCAAAATAAACATCGGCAATGAAAATTGGGTTGAAGTTTTGAATAAAACTGATATTAATCTTGCGTTTCAGGCATATTTGTCAACATTCTCGTATTCTTTTGAGACAAATTTTCCAAAATTACCTACTCGTTCAAAAAATCAGAATAAAAAGAAATGGATCACACATGAAATAAAACAATCTAGTCAAAATTTGAAAGACCTTTTTAACCTACAAAACTGAAACTGAAACCTACGAACTGAAAAACATCTATAAAGTCAGAAAAAAGAGTCACGATAATTTGATAACTAAAACAAAAAAGGAATATTTTCAAAACAAAATGAAGAATTCAGACAATCTTTCAAGATCTGCATGGCAACTAGTGTCAGAACTATCTAATAAATCGAAGGCTATTAAATCAGACATAACTATAAACGATGATAACACCATTGTTGACGATCCGAAAGACGTTGCTGAACTTTTCAATAAATTCTATACAGATGCGCCTAAAAATATATTGAGCAATATAGTCTCCTGTGACAAGGACTTCAATCATTTTCTGCGTAACGTTACCTCAAAAAAATTATTTTTCAATTCCATTCGGAAAATTCAAAATAACTCACCAATCTCCCAGTCATATGGCTCCTGAAATATACAATTCTCTTCCTGCAAATGTGAGAAACTGCATAACAAAACAATCATTGAAATATAATTTAAAATCCTTTTTGACAGAACAGAGTTTTTATAAACTGGATGAATATTTGTCGTGGCAATTTGGGGTGAAATCAATTTTTTTAGTATTAGTATTAGTATTTTTGTATTTTAAATGTAAACTAGTGACTTTTTCCATATGGTTTGTAACTGTCTTAATGTAATAAATTACTATTATTATTATATCAGAAATACGGGACGAACTGTAGCCCCTCACCGTTTTGTGGTTCAACTCAGTACATCTCGAACATCACTGTTTGAGAACTCTTTCATCTGGAGAACTGCGTTTATTTGAAATAAACTTCCTGAGAACTTTAGAGCGCATTATGGATTTTTCTGTAGTGTCTGTGTTTTGTCATTGAAAAAATCAACCCATAACATGTACTTTTTCCGAGTACTTTGGAATATTGTGCCACACACCCGGCACGTCACTCTTCCGGCAATCTCGATAAAGTGGTCGCAGGTAAGCGATGCCATCCAGGATCGAGTAACAGAGAAGGTGTACTTTCATCGCGATATGCATCCATCCGTACTCTCAAAGAACGCCGAATGGATGACCGCAGAATGCGCAAGGGTGAAATTCAATCCCTCGCATTGCCAATGCGTCAGTCTAAATTGACACCAATTACCAGCAAAACTCCCTACTTTAGCCTCCCCTGCTTTTTGCAAACAGCATCACGAAAATGAGCTAATACACTCAGGGTTGCTGCTACCCCTCGCTCGAGGCTGTCGATCAAACGGCCGTCTTCGATGTCTGCGACAGTCGGTTTCGGGGATGGTGGACTACGTCTCGAGATTCATTAAAAGATTACGATTGGTTCATCTGCGATGACGTTGTTGTTTGTGATCGACGAGAAATATTAACAAGTTATTAATCGGGGATCTGATAAGTAGCAGCTGATTATCGTCTCTATCACACTCTCCTATCAATTTTCCGCTTGATGGGTTGTTGAAGTTCTCGGTGATGTAAGTTGATGATCATTACAAGGATAATGAATGTTGGAGCTGAATGTTTCGAGTGGATTTTGAATTTGTAATGCACTGTTTGGAACCTTTGGTGTAATAATGAATATTAGTGGAGTATTATCCCAACACCCAATCATTATTTTAACACCTTAACACTGTTTCAATCACCAGGATTGAAGTTTAATCTTGAAGATGATCACTTGGTGTTTGAAACACGTATCGAGGTGTAATAGTTTGGTACATTCGTCAGAGGTTTGAAGATCATCAGTGTCATTATTATATTGACTGGTGCCTCAGCTGTACTTGTTTTCTTATAACAGTCAATTAGTTCGGCGCATGTTTGGCAATACAAAGGTTCCATTTTCAGATGATTCAACAATAAGCTTTGCACGGACTGGTGCAAGTTATGTTAGGAAACGCTAGTTGAAGTTACAGAAAATCACATATGTTTTTGTTATCTCTCGAACATTCACTACAAAGTAAACAAGTGAGGATTTTTCCAGCAAAAGATCTACAAACACAAGACGACGACTGTACGGAATCATTCAGTCCAGAGCGGTCAGGAGTATTGATTCTGCTATTGTTTTGCTCACGAAGAGGATTCAACAAGAACTCCAAGAATTCGGAGCAATCCTCTTGTTGTCCTAACGAGTATTTAGTGGACTTCAAAGACTCCAGGAAATCGGTTGGAGGGAAAGATGATACATTCTTATGAAACTGCAGCTGCATGAACAGGTGTTTGAGTTTGATGAATAATTAGGAAACATTCCCGTTCTCGTTCATCATTAAAACCTCGTTCTTGAAAATTCTTCGTCAAAAACAACACTTGTGAAATGCTAATCATGTAGCAAGTGTTTCCTAAATTATCCAATCCAATTTTCTTCTCAAGATTTTCAGGACAACTGTCTACTGATTCGTAAGGAAGAACATGTTTCACTGAATCTGTATCAGTACCATTTCTGAAGCTGCAATCGATCCTTCCAAGTGATTAAGCTCTTCCACTGAAAGGTAACCAGAACCACGAGGACTGCAGCTCTCATATAGCTTATTTGCGTTATATCGATAAAGAAAAGAGATACTCATTGCTGTCATATTTTGAAGGGTGTAAGAAAATAAATGTAAAATCAGTTGTTTGAAACACCAAATCCCTTTGAAGGTCCCAAAACCGAACTGTAACAAGTACTACTACGTCAAAAATATACCAGGATTTGATCTATGAAAGGTATAATATGTTTTTGTCATCCAAAGTAGGACACTTATGCCAATGAACAACCCAATCATCAAAACCTTTTTTTAACTGGGGCCTACTTTGAGGCCCGGGACTTTTTATTCTATATGTTACTATGCAAAATTGTGAATTGTATGTACCTCCAAATATCCTACTTCAAGTCACTCATTACGTGGATATTCTGGCAACCGTCATTAAAGTTATGTATCATCCAAATCACCTTCTGATTTATTTCTCGGAGACGCTTGGCAATAATAATAGTGCTAACATGAGCCTAACTAAAAACTTTGTCTCTTTGATGTAGTTTGGCAAGTCATTGACTTTCGAAAACAACAATGAGTCTAGCGGCCTTCCTAGCTGAAAGCGAGATGGTGAATCTGAAATTTATAGCACTCTTCATACCTAATGAGTTTAATTTCCAAAAAATTATTCTGGTGGGGTTACCAAGTAACTTGAAGTTGTTTTTGTCGTAGCCCTTGATATTATTCTAGCACGCCACTGCGTGAAAAATACCCAAACTGGTATTCAACCACACCGTTTCTATTATTTATCGCTAACAAAGCTCAGTACTTCTTCGAGCTCATCGAGCGGCATTCAATATGGCACATTCAAGTCAAAGGACGGGATGGAGAGAAAAAAGGGTTTTGATATATGAAAAAAATACTTACCACATCCGGCGTACTCGCTCCATCGGTATGGGAGGTGGAGTCCGCGTTGCTTCTCGTGCCTCCATCACCGTTCGTCGAGCCCGTCAGTTCGGGCGGTTTCCCACCATCCCTTTCGTCTATCACTAAGTCTATTGGCATTTTGCCCTTTAAACAACTTATATACCGGTGACAGAAGTTGTCGCACAGCTCGTGAACCTGAAAAAACGATCAGTTTCAATGTTTCATAAAAAAACAATCAAAGGTGTACCGCAAGGTTCCTTTCTAGGGCCACTGATCATCTCGATGTATGAATTTGGAACTTTCACGATGATTTCCATGAAAAATAAGGCCCAGAATCTACATCAAGAACCTTTCACTCCCGATGAGGTTTCAAAAACTATTTTAGTGGTACTTATCTAATATATAAAAATGGATAATTGTTGGTTGGTTGGTTGGTAAGTGATAAACTTCTACATCGCTCAGCCGATCGTGATGAAACTTGACTTGTATAAGTAATTTTTCATAGAGAAGGTTTATAGGCTATCAATTTTTCTGTAACTTGCCACTAGATGGCGTTGTTTTTTTGTAAGCACTGTTCTGTAACGCTGCGCACGCCTATGTTCGTTGATTCTGATTCTGCCAAACCATTGGAACAGCAGCGATACAGCAACATAGTACTAGTATGATATAGAGAAGGTTATTAAAAGAAGTAACAACCATCGATTTATATACATGGGTTTTTTGTGGGTTATGTATGGTGTCAATAAAAAAGACTGTCATGAAGTGATAATGCCGTTGTTTCATTTCTCATTTTACGTTCCTATCAATAATGAACATTTGCTTTGTGGAAAATTCCGATATCTACTGAGGAAGCAGTAGATTTCTCCTTACTTTTTCATTTGAACGTGATGGTCGTGTCAGAGAGGTTATAGCACAAACCATTGGATCTTTTAATGTAGTGAAGATTTGTAAGTCGCCTTCTTACTTTCGGATTTACATAATCCATTTGCCAATGTGCTTTCGTAATAATTAGCTATAAGTAGCCCGGAAATAAAAAAAAAATTGGCTATATAAACTCATTACCTAGAGTAGAGACATTCTCTCCAATAAAAAAATAATAGCTTAGAAGAAGCGATAATGTGGAAGAAGGCATTTTATACTGTTGATAATGAACTATATTTTAAATTGCCATTCAACACAGGTTCGCCATAAGTAGGCCCATAAAAAGACCTTGTGGCAATTAAAACTTGATATCTTATGCAGCAATGTCAAATCTAAAGATGAAAACAATGTGTTAGATGATGGAAAAAAAATGATGGATTGATTTTTAGTGAAAACAATTTGTCAGAATACAGTGCTCTTACATACTGATAGGTAATACAACTCATATGTCTTGGGAATCTGAGAGTATGTTTCAAATTGCTGTTTTCTCAATTGTCACTCAACAAATTGAAGGAGATGAGATTTTTTTCAGGCTGGTAATAAAACAAAGCTCTATCTTTTCTCCAGGAAATGTCACAATTTGGATATGGGACTTTATTTCACATACAATGTGCTTAGGTAGTTCAATCATAACTTGGAAAAAATAAGGTTCAATGTAGATCATCGTTATAATATTTCGCAGTATCAAGTGTTTCTTAATTCATTGCTCAATTCTTTGAATACAAAAGTTAGTTAAGTTGAGGGTTTTTGCTTGAATTGTTGTTTCCTCATATTTTACCTAACCTAAAAATAGTCAAAGTTGAAATAGCGCATTTGCAGACAAGTGCAGACATATCTTTTTGGAAACCCATATTAAAGAACTGCCTCTACCCATTCGAAAACCGTCGATCTCCGCCGATGTTCAAACAGACAGACATAGCTCAATATCTCGCGTTATCTCGTAGAGAGCAAGGAATGGATTTTCAACCTCGATCGCCGATAAAAAAAACTCCTGCCGAACTAACGACCTGTTCATTATGGTGCGATAGGAATTTTGATCGATCGTACGAACAATAATAGCTCCTCCGTCCATCGCTGTTGTTGTCCACCTCGAGCGATACCAGGTCTCCTTTGCATGGGCATGGGTCCAAGATGGCCGACGAGAGTTCTTGGTCTATACTAACCGGTTATGTGCATTTGCCTTGCAACAAGAAGATTATAATATCTTGCGGAGAGAGATGCGCCCGTTGATAGTGTCCCCTTTTAGCAATTTAAATGTGGCTGCGAATGCAAAAGCGAAGCGATGTCCGCGGACCAGCGACGGACTGCATTCTGCCGGAGCAATTTCCATATTTTTACATGGCGGCTTCAATGCTCGAAATCAAAGAGTTTGCTGAATCACTCGGATATCTCGCTAAACGGTAAGACTGAATGCTCTGGGGACGATTTCGAATTGTTTCTACTAACGGGATTTTCTTCTCAATGTACTGTGAATAGTTTTGTAATGATAATTGATATAATTGAATTCGTCCAAAGGTTAGTCCATATCTTATTTCTAATCAGGTTGTGAATTGTATGAACTAGAGTATATAATGCGATTGGTGGAAACATTATTACAAAAGACTAAAGCAATCTAATGAAGTAAGCACTGACTCTGTGCTCTGAAGGTTTGCATCAAATTTAATGTCACTCTGGACATCACAACTGCCTATCATTCTAGGTAATACAGGAAAGTCATTGAAAAAACAGTGTTTCTAGAGCGCAAGAACTCAAAAGGTCAATAATGCCTGACTAATTCTCTTGAGTAACATGAAATTTGGTTCAGTGCAAAAAAAAATTATTATTATTAATAACTTCGTTCAAACAGTAATTCAGTAGCCGGGAAAAACGAATAAACGAACTCAGGAAGAGAAAGAACCATAGTTGTATTCATGAAGATGCTAAGTCTTCGGTCGGCTCCTAGTCACAACTAGACCTTCATTTTCAATTATACTTCAAAACACGTTTTATATAAACTTTCAGGTTTTGTTTATGTAACTTTAGTTTCAGTATTTTAATATTAATATTTGTTACAAAAGGATTTGAAGCTTCATAACTCCTATTTAATCATATGCGAGCGCTTTCGACAGCTGGTCGTGCTGACATCATCAAGGCTGTACTCAAACTGAACGTGTCAACCTCTTGTTCACCCGTCTATGCGGTCCGAACGCCTTGGTGTAGGTCCTGCAGGTACTTTAGGTAAATTTGCCTGTATTTGGGTTACATCAGGTAATATTCTTTGTGTTAGATCTTCTCTAGGTTTACTGTTTCTAGGAGTGTGTATTATTTTGTGTAGCATATTGAATGTTACACACGTTTTCCTAGATGTCTAGTTTTCACAGATATCTATGCGGTTTTCCTTTTTGGCTTGTTTTATGAGTTTTATGTTCTTTTTTTCCCCCCACCAAAGAACATAAAACTCATAAAACAAGTCAATCAGGGAAACTGCATGGACATCTGAGAAAACTTAAACATCCATAAGTTTAACAGTCATAATTCACTTATCGAGGAACAAATACAAATCAAAACACAACAAGACCAACATTCAATATATTACACAAAACAATACACGCTTCTAGAAACAGTAAACCTAGAGAAGATCCAACGCAAAAAATATTGTCTGATGTAACCCAAATACAGGCAAATTTACCTGAAGTACCTGCACTAAGGCCTTTGAACCGCATAAAAGGACAAACAAGAGGTTGACATGTTCGGTTTGAGTACAGCCTTGATGATGATAGCACGACCAGGTGTCGAAAGCGCTCGCATATAATTAACTAGGAGTTATAAAGCTTCAAATCATTTTTGTAACTTATTACTGATTTTTGTGAAGATGAAACCAATTTTTCCCTTCATTTCATATGTTTTTATGAAAAGTATTGGATGAGTTTCAGCCCCAGCATTGAAGAATTTGCATCGTTCACGAATCATAGAGATCCTTTCACCACTTTACTCTTTCAAAGGCGACTCTGTCTCATGTTTCTTTGTTCCCGTCGCCCCATTTTTCTCACGCTCAGCAGCGACAATGATAATAACGAGCTGCAATCCATCGACGGCTACATACACAACTGGTTATCCAAATTCCGGCTGGTGATTTCCATATTTTTACATGCCGTGAATTCGAGACGCTGCGATGTTTTTTAACTCGACCGGTGCATTGTGCCGATGTCGCAGCCTGTGTTATCGATCCCTCGTTTTCCTCCTTCCCACCTAATTAGGGAAGACGGTCTTACAACCCATTATTGTGCCGAATATTCGGTGCCTCGAGTTACCGTCCCCAAATTCGTTCGAATACCATCGAAAATGTGTACTCTACACAAAACCTAATCACTTAAGAGCCTGTTCGTTCCCGGCGTTCCGCTAACGAAGAGATATCGAGCAGGGTGTAGTTAGTTTTCACTTTGGACTGATGATAATTGGATATGAAAGGCGACGTAATGGGAGAGCAAGGCCGACATTAAATTTTTCGAGATGGAGGAACAATTTTTGCACTTTCTGACGAACTCTGTCTCTCCCAGCTACCTCCTCATTAGGAGGAAGATAATATTGAATATTTTCACTCCTTTACATCTTACAATGGAACTATCTGACATCGCTGTTCCGTGAAGAACAGCGATGTCACAGTATAGTATAGAAGTCTGATCATCCCAAGTTTACTATTGGAACATCCTTGACATCTTCAAATTTGAGGATGAATCAATTCTGAGTCTATCATTAATATCATTAGTATCAGTACCATATTCAATTGCTCATAAAATATATACCAGTATTTCTCAGGGTAGTGTTCTTGCTTTTTTCATTTTCTTCACAAACAATCATCAAAACTAACATCTTTGAAACCTTTTTCACAAATGATACCCCCTCAAACACCTATTCTGAAGATCCATCATCAGTAAATTGTCACCTTCATGATACTTGAGTTCCTTGAGAAAGGAAGTGAAATTTGTTGGGGTTTGCAACAACATTGCTGAGCCCTATTTTATGATATGCGAACAAGAAAGATGGTTTGTTTGAAGGTGGTTGACAATGTTTCGTGGTGTATTTCATAAGTTCGGACTTCCATTGTCTAATATATTATAAATTGATTTGAAATCCCTGAGAAAAAATCAAAAAGATTAACCAAAAATAATACTTTTATTAAGCAAAAACTGAAATTACAAACTTTGACTTCAAAAATTGATTCTTATAGCTCACTGATCATTTTTAATGTTGGTATTCAAATTTAGCGCAACTGCTTAACAAACTAGCTTTATCATTAATGATTAACCTCTAACTCTATTTATTTTTCGGAAGAAGAGTGATCATCGCTAACACCGCACCACAGTAAGCCACCTCACTTGTATGGACTACCCAAAATCCACAAAAAGGATGTTCCGCTCAGACTGATCATTAGCTCCTGAGATTCAGCCACTCAGAAGTTGTCCAGGTTTTCACTACCAATAATTAAACCAATGCAAGGAAAAACATCACATTTTGTGGAAAATTCAAGACATTTCGTTGAACTACTAGGGGAAATCGAAGTCAAAGAGCTGGATCAACTGATCAGTTTTGACTTGGAAAGCCTCTACACCAACGTTCCTGTCTAAGAAGCAGTTCAAATCATACAGAAGAAGCTATCCGGAGATGGGGACCTAGAAGATAGAACAAACTTACCGATACAATTAATCATGGAATTACTAGGATGCTGTGTACGAAACTGCTACTTCCAACTGAACTTACGCAAGATGAGGGACTGCCAATGGGATCGCCACTTTCACCGATTATAGCTAATATATATGGAGTGGTTTGAAACTCTGGCCATTGAAGAAGCCCACAAGAAGCCTTGAGTCAAAGATACGTAGACGACACCTTCATAATATGGAACCATGGGAATGCAGAACTAGACATTTTCCTGAAGCACATCAACAACGTAAGTCCTTCCATCACTTTCACAATGGAGAAGGAAGTCCACAACGAATTGCCTTTCTTAGACGTATTGGTGAAGAGGACCGACACTAAATGGGAAACATCTGTATATCGAAAACCCACTCACACAGGACAGTATCTGAACCAGAAATCCAACCACCATCAATCGACTAAGAGAGGAATCATCAAGACTCTACTAGACCGTGCTTTCGAGCTCTGTAATACAAAGGAAGGTCTCGAAAAAGAAATAGGCATCATCAAAATTGACCTTCAACGGAATGGTTACTCCAGAGTGATGGTAGAACAGGCTTTAGCTAGAAGGCAGCTGGAGGATTATCGGAAAGGATAAGAAGGATTGGGTCCAAGTATCCGTAGCAGCTTCACAAAAACCAGGCCACCAAACGCGGACTGCGATTCCAAGAATTGCATTCACCAAATACCCTGCGAGTGCGAAAAATCATACATCGGTGAAACTAAGAGGTCATTGAAAGTTCGCATTGCTGAGCACAAGAAACACAAACAGCGAGAAGAAACCAGCAAATCCGGAATAGCAGAGCATGTTTGGACTCATCAACATAATATCAAGTGGGCTCAAGCTGAAATCATCCACAAAGAGGAACACTGATTTAGGAGAAAATTCAAGGAAGCCGCGTATATGTTGTCCAACAACGCATTTAGTCAAGCTAGCGTAGAGATACGTAACATATGGAAACCTCTCATCAAGCGAAAAACGACCAACTCCCGCCAAACGGTCATCTCCCGCTGAAACCAATGAAGCGGAAAGAGGAAAGAGGGGATAGGTGAAAGGTGAAAGCACCCGAATGACCTATAAATAGTCAGATCTCGGAGGAATAAATCCAGTTATCACCTGAAGATGATTGTGGATACCAACAATCGAAACGTCGCGCCGTAACTTGGTTTGGTATCTTTCAATTTCTATTTTTATTTTTTATTTTCATTTTTGTTAATAATATTTTTTAATTTTCAGCTTTTATTAATATTCCAATTTTTTATTTTCAGGTTGTAGCTTGTATGTTATTTCCTTGTAATTTCAGTTTTTTGTTTTAATAAAATTGTTATTCTCGGTTGATCTTTTATTTTTTCAGGGATTTCAAATCAATTTATATTTTATTAGACAATGGAAGTCCGAACTGATGAAATAAGAAAGATGGTTATTCTTCGATACTTCGAGGTTTTTAATTTCATTATTTTTCAGGTTTAAAAGCCGTCTACAAAATAAAATGGATACAGTGTACCCGAGATCAACAAGGCCATGAAACTGAAGAGTTCTACGGTTCAAAACGGGGAGGAGCACGTGCCTATCTACCATATATCCCTAGGGTCACAGAAATAATTGGAAAATGACAACATCAAAACGGTTTTCAAACCCACCAAGAAGATACAAAAAAGTCTCCGCACAAGTATGCGCTCTGCTGTTTCATCATTTTCCAAACATAGGCGACAGACACACACTGTCTTCCGACAGTGACCTGTGAAAAGGCCTGTTTAACATCGTAGTTCATCACTTCTGTAGTCCAACAACTGTTTGTTTCTGTTTCTGTTCTGGAAGATTTTGCCAAGTCCTTAAATCCAGGTGTTCAATGTTTGTTTGGTAAAACCTAAAGCGATGTTAACGACAGGTTCTGGTCCTATGAAGCTGCTTGCAGCGTCCTTCAGCGGCATCATTGCCTGTGTGGAATCCAGACCAGAGACAATTTGTTAAGTCTTTCTATTGAGGAGAGTCATTTTTGGCAATTTGCTACCAATTTAGACGTTGCTCGGTAGGAGCCAAGAGCTTGCAACGCCATTTGCCTGTCCGAGAAAACACCTGCACCAAGATAACTCAGATGTATAAACCTCTGAAGAAGTTAGCCACTCGCCCCAGCGAAACGTCAGGAAGAAATTCCAAAAATCGACAGCCTTCAAAGAAACGAAATTCAGTGTTATGTTAGTAGTTACAAAGGCTCTAGAAACGTCTATTCGTGAGTGTCTCAAAGGAGCTTTTATATTACAGGTATCTATATTTCATGAGATAGTCAAGCTCTTGAGTCATCTAATTGTGAGTCGAAACCAACTTGATACTGCTAATGATTTAGTTCCACAAATGAAATATTTTATTTACCTTTTCCAACTCCAAGAGGTGAAACCGAAGTACTTGTATCGCCTGGACCATCTGAAAAAGAAATGTCATCAGTGAATAAAAGTCTACAAGCAGATATAAAAAAGGGAGGGCCAACTAAGATGAGTCAGCGAAGAAGCTTAAAATCGTTCTGTGTCAACAGACTCCGCCAACTTGAGTCATATTTCGCCAATAAACTTTTGACATCCGTTTGTGTGTCCAATAGCTATGTTTGGGGCGGGTACAATTCAGTTTTAAATGCGCATCAAAATCTCATTTTAGTTTGCGCGTACTATGACTTCAGTAGATACTACATATTCGTGGTTCTTTTCACAAGCAAATCAGTAAATTAGCAGATGAACCGCCGTTTGAGATCTCTTCAGATTTCAGAGCAATTCCTATCAAAACTGGTGAGCGAAAATATCAATTATAATTGGTCCAGTCGTTTAAAATGTTCTCACCAGACACGGCATAACATATTCAGTGCTCATATTCTTGATTATTTCACGCATAAATTACTTTTTACGGTAATCACTTGATCGTATGGCGTTTAACGACAAGAATACCAAATTATTCATTTGTCTCGAAAACTATACGAATAGAACATGTATCGGATCACTTTCTAAACATCTACAAGCAATGTTCGATGGGAATTTTGGTGATTCGTGTTGCAACTGACTCTTTTCGAAAGCGTAGTGGCGAATGAACCAAGGAGATGTGTGGTGATGCAATTGTTTTGCATATCTGATAACGAGAATCGTGCACAGTGACCTCGTTGGCGAGGACCTTCATGATCGACAGCTTCGGGAAGATTTTCATGAGACGTCTAAGAAAGAGTGAGAGAGCAAAGGTCACATACAAAGGACAAACGAAATATTTTATAGGGATGACTTCAACAAAGTAGAAAAAAGCTTTCAGTGAAATAACATTCAAAGAGAGAAATACAAGAGTAGTTTCCGACCTAACAAAGATACTAGGCAGTTTTTCAGATTTTTTCTCATTTTCAAACAGAGTCAGTTTCTTTTCAACTCTATATACTTCTTCCAGCGATGCTTCAATTTCTGTAACGTGAGCAAACGCGGCACCCAGCGCGCGGACAGCTTTCTCATGCCTAAATGTTGATTTAATATGTGACAAACACGAAATTTCGACATGTTCATAACCTCTGCTTTATCTCTCACTTCAATTCGGCGGTCATCTAGCACCATTTGATGAACTTTGGCGATGTTTTTGTCGGTAGTTGCAGCTTTTGGACTTCCCGAACGTTCATAGTCTCCCAAGCTCTTACGGCCCCGTTCAAAATCAGCTGCCCACAGAATCAGACTCATCTTTGATTGGCGTATTGCCTTTCAAAAACGAATATTCAATGACATAGAATAGAAGCTAGCTATTCACGAGTGCTACATCTTCATGTTGAAGTGGAAAAATTTGCAGACCACTCTCGTATAAGTTTTAGCCCCATGTTGGGCGCCAAAATATTTTTCCATCAAAAGTGTTCAATCAAAACCCTCAGAATAAAATGCGGAAAAAGATTCCCGTGGGTTAAGCTACCTATCGGGCGCGTACCCAGGTGGTGGATAGGGGAACGGCCAGGGGACTGGAGGCCCTGTCCGGGAAGGGCCTTACGGCCGGAGTCGCCGGTTAGTGGCAGAAATAGGTAGGGCAAAGGAAGCTAAAACTCCCCAAAAGCCTCTGCAACACATGCCACCGTGCAGCAGCCTACCCAAGCTGAGGTGAAAGGAATCGTGCTGACAGCTGAATGGCCGCAGGGCCATTCCCAAAAACCGATCCCGAGGCTGGACAGAAGTGCTCACCTCAATCTAAGGCGTTGGCTGGAGATGAAAAGAAATGTCCACCCCAATCTACCGCTTGGAATGAGGTTGGACATAGCAGATCACCTCGTGATGTAATACAAAGGCCAAGGGGTAAGCGCATTTGCGGCGCCGAGGCCAAAAGGAGATATAGAGCGTAAGAGGCAGGAGTTGCACCCTCCTCTCCCACTCCACCTCCAACAGCCCTGAATAAAGGCAAGGAACCGGTTGCCCCTGCAGGAAATCTCCCTTACGTGTGCACATCTACGGAGGAAACCCCAGGAAGGTTTAAGAAGCCGCGCAACGACAGTAATGTCGCTGCACCTTCCAAAACCTTCGCGGAGGCCGCTGGCAACCTCAAGGTTGCCAAAGAGAGTGTGTGTTCCGCGAGTCTTGTTTTACATCTGCCAATATAAAGGAGATATCTTCTAGTGACCTGTCCACCTTCCTGGAAAGGACAGGATGGTCGACAACTCCTCGGGAGGATGTACAATGTGACACATGTATCCTAAGTGCTGTGAGTCTACACTCACCCTCCCTACTCTACAGATACAGAAGAAGCTGCAGATTGTGTCCAAACCACTGCATTTTCATTAATGTGTTTTCAATAGTAGCGGTTTTTAGTGAAATAGTAGATAGTTTGGCTGGAAATGTATGACAGTGACGAGTAAGTATGAGAGTGACTGTGTGAAGGATTTATATTGAGAATCTGGTAGAGAAAAGTTGATATTTTCTTTGTCATCGAAGAAGTGATATGATATTCGAGAAAGCATATGATCTCATACCTTTAAGAAAATCTACAGTTCAGTATACCGATTGACTAATTTCATTGATGATATTTCAACTATTCTTCCAGTGTTTCCCCAGACAAGTAAATCTACATGATTGATATCAGAGGTTTATGGTAATTGCTATGGTTCTCTATAATTGAAATGAATTTCTCTTAAAATTTTCCACATCTACTAGAGTGATATTAAGCTATTGTTTGATGATATAATCATTTAGAAAACACTCCTTACAAAATATTTTTCAGAAGATTTTAATCTCCAGAAACAAGCACTTCTCTGAACAGTAGAACACTCGACGTACATACAGATGATGAAATAGACTAATTTCACCAACTGGGTAAATGAAAAGCGCATCAAGAACAGTGATGTAGGAATCAGCGCTTGTTCTGGATATATTTGACGCCAGAGCCACCAGTTCTACCTTCTATATCGTCAACCAATGCTTCCTTGCTGAATATTGGCCACAAATCACCACTTTGTTCGTCGATTTTTATCGTCGCTTGATTGACAGCTGACCTGATCAGAGGTAAAACCCTGTCCCGATAAACCATTACTCTATTCTCGAGAACCGAAGAAACATCATGAGACTAAAATGTTCTGTAATATATTAATGGATTTCGTAAAGGACCGAGTTAATCTTTCGAGTATAATTAATACAAAGTACCATTATAAAAAATCGAATGGGAAACCTGTCGTTCGAGTTTCAGTTCTTTGAAGACGGGCAATAGGCGCTGATAGATCTATAGTTCGGATTGAATGCGTTTAGTTGCTTGGAATGGTAGAAGTATTTGAGGTGAATGAATGAGGGATCTAGTCCAGAGGTGTATTAGGATGAGAATAATGAATGAAATTGATTTTTGATGTAGCGACAATGCATAGTTTCATTCAAAATGTATCATCTCAAGTTCTGGACAAGCGAATGAATAGCTCCAGAGATGAGATCACTAGCATCTAAAGGAATATTGAATTTTTTGGCGTATATAATTCATTAAACCCATTGAGATAGAAGGTTAGTATTCAATTGAAGTGTGAGAGCCTTGAACGTTTTGAAACCAGTGGCGTATCTCGAGAGTTAAAAAGGTAATTACATCCTCAACAAAGATGTAGATCATGACAAAAGTTTTTTTCAGATACAAACTAGTAGAAGAAGTCCACTCGAAACACACCAGAAGCACAAAACGAACCCTTGCAGGCAGAACGAGCCCTTGATGGCAAAACGAGCACTTGATGACTTGTTATATAACCGTTAGTCACCGGGATAACTGGTATAGTACCGATTATATTGTGTAATATGATAGAGAATGTATTGTTGATGCCTTATCCGGTGTGAATACGCGTATCATTCCGTAACCTTGTCCAATCTACTACATCTATATCAATCTGTATCAAATTATAACTTTTATCAAATGCTGGAATCATACTCATGAGTCTTTCCAAGCTATCATGATATATTTCACTCAATTATTTAGCAAAAGAAATCCCCACCAATGTCTCCATAGTGGATCAAACCCACCTTTCGAGCAAAGAAAAAGAAATCCCATTAGCCGTGATTACCGCTACTTGTAACAATAAGAACGGAGTTATTAGATAAATCACTGTGTTCCGGACCGAATTAACGTCTGGCTCGTTGTTTATAGAAGGCGTAGGTGTGCACTCACAATGAACGTACTCACAGAACAGAAAATTACACGAGATTGGGACCCGGACCCCGGGCATCGTGTTATCTTTCATCCGCACGCCGGAGAATGCAAACAATTGGAGTGTGCAACACAACCATTACACATACAAGGATCGGGGGTGAAGAAACGGCTGAGCACAAAAGCCTTCTCTGCTTCACTCGAATTACCTATTGTGTTTTAATCCTTGATGCCGTAAAATCAATGTTCTTGCGTCAGTGCTCGCAGGAGGCTAATTGGAAGACCAGTTCGGAAAAATCCAGATAAGAGTTTGTTCTCTCACAGCCAACTGCACTGATTGCATACATGAGTTTGTTGATTGATATCGATATTGTTCGCTGGCGATGATTCACTGATCGTGTATGGCCGAATTTGGTTTTTATTATTTGAAAAAAATAATTGTTTTGGCGAAACAATAGAGAATTCATTTTCTACTGTAATATAATTAAATAGCTAGTGAAAAATAATTCGAAATTCAAGTGAAAGTGAGTAAGATAGTTTATCCAAACATTGGCAAATCCAGTGAATACTGGATTTGCCATCGATTCTCGCTAGCGACTAACATCTAGCGAAGCATCTCCTCCCCAACTCGCCTCATTACAAAGCGAATTTAATTAGAGAGACAACCCCTTCAGAAGTCCACATTAAAAATAATTTCAAACCTGCGGGTGTCTCTGAGTATTGTCTCAGAGGGGCCATATGGCAATAAATAATATTTCCCGTCCAGTAGCCAAGTTTCTTTCACCGTGCACCGGCCTACCAGAAATTAATTGAAGCAC